GTTCGCCCTTTGCCATTCACTTTTCTCGTTGGAAACATAAAATGTTGTGTGAGGGACGTCTTTATTACGTCAAATACACGACCGAGCTTTAAAACAAGGCACAGTTTGGTTTTAACAGCATTTTTTATTGACTAAGAAATAATTTATTATACGAAAAACCTTCAAATCAAACAACGACTTTATGAACGGTCAATCACTCAAGACCTAATATAACTGCGGACAGAGAAGGGAAATGTCTTAAAACGACAAAATGATGTAAAGCAGTAACAAATACAATGTATTAATACTTTGTCAAGTCTCCTTTAGCCTTTAAAGCTGCTATAACGCATGCGGCACGGAGATTGCTAAGTAGCGTATGGGGGATTGGTCTACATAATGTTAAGGGCAAAATCTAACTTACTTATGCATTGACAGATGTTTACTTGTCTTGTCCCAATTTTTTTGGATTACTTCAAGGAGATTTTCAACAGGATTTAGGCTCGGACTGTTTGCGTGAATAAAACTGCCTCGAAGACCTCATGCTGTGACTGGGATTGGCTGTGGTTTAAAATATTAGATTATAGTCGTAAGCTGAATTGTAGACACATCTCCCTCGAGCGGCAACCAGTGGCATTATCCTGAAACATTACAGTGCCCATTCGATGTCAATGAATGCCGTGTTGACCGAGAGCATTCTTTACAATGTCGATGAACTTCTTGTTGTTTATCGTCTACATTATTGAACACTACGCCGGTTGAAAATCCAATTTAATGGCCATCCAAGCCATCAGGCGTTTACAGTTGGTGAAAGTTGGTGTCGATAAAGTGTGGTGTCATGGGAAGTTCTTCCCACAAATGACCAACTGGGCCGTAGTTGCACCCTGTGCTCCGCACAGCAGTCAGCACAACACATCGACTTAGTCACCAGCACTCTGCGCTGATCACGCCTCCGAACGGAAACGTAGTCTCGCGCCGCTCACTGAGACAAGCGAGGATGCGCCCAGCATCGGGCTCCGGAAGATTTTTTCGGGAGAAGGCTGTGTTCCGCTTGGACCTACAGGAATGGGATACCGTTACTGTTTCATCTTCCGACACCGTGGATACCTGCGCTCCCTCCTAGGTCACATGGTCTTTGTCGACACGGTCGTTGAAATTACCGATGACGACAGACTAGTTCTGACCTGGAAACTGGTTGTTATAATTTTGAAGAAGTAGACAATTTAAAATAGTTTGGGACGGGGCTACTGCCGAATGCACAAGGCAAAGACAGGATTGTCTTGCGAATCGATACTGTTCGTCGGTTTGCTTGGTCATAGAAAGTGTTTATGGACCCTATGCGACATCTACATCACAGCGAAAATTCGCGTGTACAGGGAATCCTGCCAAGATGGCTTTATCACCTTATTTGTCGACTGAATCACGAGCTTAGGGTTGCTACCCTTAATATGGTGCCGGTGTCCACTTGGAGGCGTTAAAGATGGGGCTTACTCGAAACGTGACTCGACACAGTTTGCAAGAACATTTATGAGGTTCTTAGGCCTTCAGTATTAGGCCTCCGTCGCTAGAGGAGAGAATAGGTTGGGCTGTCCAAACCCGCTGTAGGGTACCTTCACGCGCGCAGGTATAATCTATGGCATCATTGTGGCCGACTAGTTCAGATATGATCAAAGCGGAACCAAGTACACGTACAAGTGCACAGTCGCCTGAAGGGAATGCAGTTCTTGCAAAAACTTCTTCCTTATACTATTAGAGCGAACCATTGGGACAGAGAAGGCTCGTTCCAGAAGGTGTACCCAGAACCCATTTCGTCCCATTGTCCCCAATAGGAGAAGCGGGTCTCACAGAATGCTACAATGTTCGTTTTGTTACAGGCGAGTTCCGCGGTGACCTGAGCCGTCCTCCGTTCCGGACGGTTCGAGTCGGTTTGTTTGGATGGGGGCGAGTATTCCAGGCCGGCATGGTGACACTAGACCAATAAGCACATATGTCGATCAACAATCTTTTCAACGTAAAATATGTCTATCGCTGGCCTGAAGCTGCAGTTTAGGTGACAGCTCACAATAAATGACATGTCCATTTCGCTTTCATAGTCGCGGAATTTTCATTTTAACTTGCTGGATTACGTGCAAATAGTAGTTTCATGGTGAAGATCTAGTAAAACTATGCGGCTCAACTAACTTTTATGGTTTATCTTCCCCAAGATCATCTGCTGTGTCCTAGGTGGCCTCCTCCCTCGTAACTGCATACAGCGCCAGACTCCATGCCGGGTAGTCTTTTAGACAAGCAGCAGTCAAATATACCAATCACTCTCATTTAAAACCCTAGTAGCAGTCGATATGGACACGCCGAGATACGTAAATCGCCTGAATATGGACTCGGGCCATTTAGTCGATTTACCACTGATATCGACATATCGAAACAGTGTGGCGCATACAAAAATGAGTTGTGGTGCTATGCACACCAAAGAAATATATATTGTATACTTCTTTCCATGTTATATAAGACCCCGTACATCGCTACCGGTCTCCGTCGGCATGTACCTTGTTTTACCGCATATTAACCAGAGCCGAGGCCTTTGAACACTAGACCACACATAACGGTAAGACAAATTATTGGTATTTTTCGATTTTTCGTCAGAAATATAGCAAAGTTAGAAAATATTACAACAAAATATTGTCTGCCACCGGGATGTTTAGTATCCACAACTGATCCTCACGAATTGGTTTTGACGGTTCAGGTACTTAAGTCTTAAGTACCTGAACAATTGTTCTGAAAGTTGGGTATATGTACGATATGTATGTACGTCTCTTTTTTCAGATGCCCTTCGACTTCTTTAGAGTCGTTTGCCTACCGCATTCGGTGCCCTTTTTAGTTGCTTCGTATACGAAGCATCTATATCGATATAGATTATGCAAACCAATACGTGCATTTACGAAGCAACTAAAAAGGTCACCGAATGCGGTAGGCAAACGACTCTAAGGAAGTCGAAGGGTATCTGAAAAAAGAGACGTACATATAGGGCGATTTTCGTCTAAGTTTCACAGCCTCCACGATTTCCCGGAACTCCTCGTCTCCATAGCTCTTAATACGTCGTAATCGTGTTCTCCGGAATTCCTGCCTAAACATGGTAAAGATAGAAACAGCAGACAAGAGGTTTAAATCAACAATATGAGGTAAGTGCAAGTAGTGTCACGTCACGCGTTCCACGCCGCTCACGCGAAATAATGGCGCGCCCGCGTGTGCGCGCAATCGAAATGCAACTGGGAACGGCAACCAATGAAATTGCAGATTGCACAAACGAGTTAGCCAATTACGTGACAGACGTACATATCTCGCTAACTCGCTATTCACGTATATCTATTGCTAGTAGGGTATTAACAATTTAGCACTTGACATACCCTGGTGACATGTAGCCTTAAACCCTTGTAGTGCCTGCGGCGGCAGTACTTGTCGGCATCCAGCCACTCAATATCCACGGTCTTAGAATGTAAAAATTGTACTATACTTTGGACGCAGTTGGTGAGAGACATATGGTCTGCACCACTGCTTTATAATGCGGTTTAGACTTTCTATCTTTTTCGTGATGTTGTCGCCGTACGTCAAAAGACTACGCCGAGCGAAATGGGCCCACCGGCGTCTGCACCGCCGCTAGTTGACTACAATATACGGCCATAGCTCAGCCCTAGTAGCAAGCTATATGGAGTAGATATCTATTATATATCTATTTATCGATATATATACAGTAGATGTGCTAACTCATGAAATGTCAACCAAAATTTCGAAATGCGTTCTCGTTTCGAGAAGATAAATTAAGTAGTGTTGTAAAACTAGTCATTATGCAGCATAAATCTATAATGATCTAGTTACCTCAGGGTGTCTGCTTTCGAAAGAACTTATTTTCGGCTGCATACAAGATCTATTCTCTGCAAAAAATGGTTACTTATGTAGTATGCAATTTTCTCATTCATTTTCGATGCCCTTGAAAATTCAATTATATTTCATGGAAATCATGCATAAAAATATTCATTCTTTTACTTATTCGGTAGAAAATCACGTTTTCTTCCAATTTCATACTCAAAAGAAGAGTATAATTCGGTTTTAAAAAAGTTTCTAATTGTGAGATTTTTTAATACCCTTGAATAGCCGTTCATGAAACGTCATGTATCTGCATTTACGAATGTGGCTTGTAAAGTTAGCAATATTGCTCAAATCCGCTGCTTAATTTTATGAACCTCATATGGTCTCCTCTTAACATCGTAGAGAAATGCATGGTTTTCCGTACACGGAAAATATACAGCTTGTAGTTTTGAAACCCTGAATACAAGTGTGACAGCAGGTGGGGTTCAAAATTATTCGGGAATTAGAGAAGTTTTTTAAAACCGAATTATACTCTTCTTTTGAATATGAAATTGGAAGAAGACGTGATTTTCTACCGAATAAGTAAAAGAATGAATATTTTTATGCATGTTTTCCATGAAATATAATTGAATTTTCAAGGACATCGAAAATCAACGAGAAAATTGCATGCTACTTAAGTAGTAATTTTTTGCAGAGTATAGATCTTGCATGCAGCCGAAAATATATTCTTTCGAAAGCCGGCGTCCTAAGGTAACTGGAACATTATAGATTTATGCTGCATCATGATTAGTTTTACAACACTACTTAATTTATCTTTTCGAAACGAGAACGCATTTGGAAATTTTGGTTGACATTTCATGAGTTAGCACATCTACTGTATATGTATATCGAATAGATATCTATTTTGACGCAAAAATGGATATCTATTAGATATCGATTAATCGAGATACTGCGCTGTCAGCGAAAAGGAGGGGGGGGGGTAATATGCTACGCGTGGAATTGTTTGCTTAGCCCAATGCCCTTTTCTACCCCCCATCCGTTCGTTGTCGTATGTTTATTACCCCCCGATTACCCAGAGGTACACTGGAGACGGTTGTATTGTAATATGTTTTTAAAAAAAATTAAAATAATATGTACAATAGTTTGCTGAACCTCTTCTGTGTTCACATAGTTAACGCAGGCGAGGAATCAGTAGATGATCCGGGTATATTGTCTAGAAGTTAAAATCCATTACTGAAAAACGACAATTAATTTACCACTGTCATTTGGCGTCAGTTGTGACTTATTCTTACGCTGGACACAACTTTCGAGCGACCTTTTCAGGCGCTTGGTAAGTGCCGACTCAAGGTCAGAGAGCTTTACGGTGGAATCGGTATTCCACGCTCCGAAGACTTCTGCATGTTGTATAGTTGTAAGTAACGGCAGACTTACCAAGTATAACCTCATACAGTTTGGAACCGCTGAGGCTCTCTTTCGTCTTGCTTCCTTTGAAATTAACATATAGGCTGATTTCATCATCGAATACAGCGAAGAAAATGCGCTTGACGAATTCGTCAATATTATGCCCACGTAGGCATGTTAGGAAGGAAGTCTAACGCAATAGGGTGTGATTAATATGGTTGCATACCAGCTGCTGTCTGAAGCTCTTGTCCAGTAATCGGACATTCAAATTACGAAAATCGGCTGCCGACCGTAATTGGTGGTCAAGCGGGTTCGTCGGCAGCTGAGAAGCTACCGGTCCCGAGGTTTTAGCATGCTGTAGAATCATTGATTCTAACAGCCGCTGACGGCCGATTAATTTGCGGACTGTCTCCACTAGAATGTCAAGTTTCATCGACTGTGCGCGCATGTGTTTGTACATAAGCAGCAGGATATCTTCCTGCTCATTCACTTTCGGCACTGTTGTCAATGTGTCGTCACCCAGGGGGATAGTGTCGAAAGAATCATCGGCGTCCACCTGCGGCTCCTGAAAGGTATAACAACGTTATTTTCCATAACTTACTGGCGATGATATGCCTTCACCTTCCAGCAGGTAGATCGCCTCATCGATCGCAGACCTCCTTTGTCGGGCTGGCAGTTGGCGTGTCCGAAGTTGGCTCATGATAGTATCTACAAACGCACAGGAAATAAGGTGAATTAAGTGCTTGCATAATGGCCACTTCTTCCCTACAGCGCTCGCAAACCACTAAGTAGCTATAATACCTGCGCGTTTGTATGGTTCACGAGCACTGTTTGCATAGGCAAAAGGGATCGTAAGTGGCTTCCCTAAATCTCTATATAATTTCAATTAATACGTATTGGTTATCTTCTGGAATGCATACGTACTTAATGTAATCATTCGGTAATGGTGAGCAGACTAACTTGTTATCTATGCTGGCTTTATAAACTTTCATAAGGGAGGAATTCTTAGGATAGTCAAAGTAATCTGAAATATTGCTAAATTCATGAAAGACTAAATGTATACATCCACCTGCATCGCATAGTATGTTTTTAACACATACTATTCTATTGCCAATTTCTATGCACCTATTGCCTGAGGTAATATCAATACGATATCTATCTGTGATTAGACATTTTTATTGCCTACTGCCCTCACAGCCTGCAGGTATTGGTCCTTCATTATGCTCATGAAGGAATCTAGGTGAAGAAGGCCTTGAGGTATTGTGCGTAGCTACCTCCTCCTCGCTTAAACGCATAGCTAGCCGTTGTAAAGGCCTTGACGGGCCTAAATAGCTTTCAAAAGGGAACGACGAAAATGAGTCCAGTGGACCGTGACGCTCAACATCGTCCGCAATGTGCATTAGGCTATGCACATTGTAAACCATGTGCTCGTCACCATATAGACTCGAAAACTTTCTAGTAAACACTATAACAACTGCTTACAATAACCTACGTTTCGGTCACATGTCTTAGGGGAGGCCAGCAATCTAAGGGCAGTAAAAAGCAGTAAATGCAGCTTATAATGATTAAAAGGCAGGATACCCGGGAGAACAACGAGACCTAGATACAATACAAACTACCTAAACTCCGTAGTCTTCCAGGACTCGAAATCACTTAAACACCTAGCTGTTTGGGAAAATTCTGATGGAAGGCATGCATTTAAAGAACGCAACCTATCGTCTATAGCCTTCACCTGCAGTGCCTTCAGTAACGAGGGCGTCGTGCGACCACTGTCCTTTGAACGATGATTTCTAACCCACAAACTTAGCAAGCGTTTCAATACGCCCAAGTAAATTAGATGCATTGGATCTAGAGGAAATTGGGAAATAAGGCCTACCTTGCAAGAGACGAATGGAGACACTCCGACTCTGTGTTCGTCCTCCACAGAGTGCAAGAAGTCCTCATCCGTCCTATCCCTCTCTCCTTTCTCTAGGTACACTACTTTACCCATATAAACACCCGTTAATGTACAACGTTCGCACCCATTATACGCATTCACGTTCTTGATTTGCTTAACGAAGGCCCTCGCAGGAGCGTCACAGATAACACAGCTGACGCGAACGCGGGTCTGCAGTCCGACGCTGTCGCTGCTGTTGATCCCTTGTTCGCTTACTGATGTTAACTCACTAACTACTAACTTACAGAATGCATGGACATCTGACGGTTTTCCAGTACCACAGTAAATGCCAACTGGAAAAACGTTACTGACAATGGGCCGCGAAATTGTGCCTAAGATTGGCCACATTTCGGTGTTTGATTTTCTAAATACTGGGAGACCATCGATGGCCAACTGAATCTCTATATCGCAAGCTGGGTTTACTATATTCTTTCTTATAAGTCTACGTAGTTGCCTTTATAAGCCGACGTGCACATACTCACCGCTACCCATTGGGGCAACCTTTAGATCATAGGCCGCTCCCAAGAGTGTTCTGGGGTCTGCCGGTAGTTGGGGCACAATCGGCTTAGAAATAGCCAACAGAACTCTTATGGGAGCGTGTGCAATATTGAAGTCCAGAGCCCATTCACGCAATCGTTTGACGTAAATGTCGCCCGGGGCAACGGCTACGATCTCACGGTTTTCAGCGTCCGAAGACGCTCCTGCATTCGTCCTCAGGACAGCACTTTCAGCCGACGAAGTGGTCCCGTCCTCCTGCATAGGCTATAAGAGTTCTGAGCCGCCACACAACGTGCTTAAAGGGCGACTTTGCGATTTTCGTCTACGTTTCACAGCCTCCACGATTTCCCGGAACTCCTCGTCTCCATAGCTCTTAATACGTCGTAATCGTGTTCTCCGGAATTCCTGCCTAAACATGGTAAAGATAGAAACAGCAGACAAGAGGTTTAAATCAACAATATGAGGTAAGTGCAAGTAGTGTCACGTCACGCGTTCCACGCCGCTCACGCGAAATAATGGCGCGCCCGCGTGTGCGCGCCATCGAAATGCGACTAAAGTACGGCAACCAATGAAATTGCAGATTGCACAAACGAGGTAGCCAATTACGTGACAGATACACATATCTCGATAAATCGCTATTCACGTATATCTACTCGATATCTATTGCTACTAGGGAGGGAATAGTTGCCGGAAGCTATTAATATGTAATTTGAAAGACCTAAAGGTGGATGCATACAAGCCCTTCGGAAAAGTTTAAAAGCATGCTCCGACCTTATCTCTTTATACACGCTTCTGACCTTTCTCATGAAGGCCTGGAGCACATGAAATGTGCAGATAAGGACGGCAACCTGAGTTCCAGGAAAAATCTCCTTCCAGGCCTTCATTTCTTTAGCATCCTTGTCTATAAACACTGTGCGTAAGTTGTCAGTTGCAGACCCCATCTTATCCCTAAATTTATCAACTACCCACCCTACGCTAACGGCGTCGTTCTGAGTTACAAACGCGTAGAACACGGACTGATCATGCCCATGCTTATCAGTTATCACTATGTGGTACAATGCACACCCCTGTCTATTGGTCCGGTATGTGGCGTCCATTTGGACAACCTCCGGATACGCAGAGTACGTCGCCCGCAGAGCCGGCGTCGCAAAGCAAGCGGCCCGCAGAGCCGGTCTCGTAGAGCACACGTTCCGCGAATCATCATAAAAGAATCGGGGTCGCCGCCACCCCTCATGGAGAACAGGGCATTTTTCATCCCCTTTACCGTTAGATCACTCCGAAACATCCGACGGCGCATGTTGACTATGTCCTTCATTTTGTAATTAAGACCATAGCAACCTGCGACTGTGTTTAGAGAAAGTAATCTTACTTTTTAGGTACACCTTCAGCCGTCCTGCTGATGGGCGCATCTGCTGCATCAGCGCAGCAGATCTTTCTCGTCTTGAGTCGCCAACCGCCGCAACTTGGGGTAGACAGAGGCCATCTGCGGACTGCATACCCGGTTGTGGCGCAAATTGAGCACCTTCACATGCAGTTCCTCCTCAGTCACTATGGCGGTGAAGCGAGCTGTACATCCAAACTTCAGAGAACTAAGCCGCCTGATGTTAAACAACAGTCGCTTACTTTGATTTTGTCTTTGAGCTGCAACTGCGAAAGACTCCCGAATGACAGCATACAAAGTAGATATAACGATACTTCAATGCGTCAATCCGGGGATGGGTTGCCGGCAGTCTTTCGCTTTTCTGATGAAGCTGGCAGAGGAAGCCGCCAAAATAACCGAACGTTTAATACGGCCTACCTTCTCATACTATCTTACCGCGGACATTAAGTCATCGAAACTCCCGAAGACCCCGCCTTGAAAAACTTTCTTAAACAAAGAGCAAGGCAAGCGAGTTTGTTCTTGCGCTGTAAAGCACGGTTAAAGGGAGTCTGTATCTTCTTGTCGGTGAGGCAGGACGCAACGTGCGAAAGTCCGTCAGCCGGGAGCCTGGGCTCTTCTGCCTAGAATGCCGGGACTCCACGGGCACGGGCCCATGTCCGTGCTCCGCCTTGAACGACGTAACGGCAAGGTTGCCCGCCTTGCGATGCACAGTGTTAAAGAACGCATCACAGCCCACGCGCCTGCGCAGTCGCTGAGTTACCAATGCTCTTGTAAACTTACTTTCGAGTTGAAGCCACAATGCAAATGTATTTGCGGCTGGAAAACACAAAGTTCTCGGCGTTAGGGCTACCGGCTCTGAATTTGTGGGAATTTACTGGCTTAAAGTGGGAGCCAGTTTCCTATGCTTGGTCAGCGCAAA